AGCCTATCTGGCCTCTCCCAGCGCAGCCCCAGGCTCCGTTTCCCTTAGAGTCCACTTACCCTCCCACGTCAACCGCACCCCTGATCCCCCACTTGGGACTCTCTCCCTCAATACCCCACTGTCTACTCCTGCTGCCCCCGCCCACCCAAGTCTTCCTACCCCTCACTGTAGAACCCCTCGTGACCTCCCTTGTGGAACCCCTTTCTCGGGACCCTGCGCCATGGATCCCCTGGCTGATACCTCTTGTGCTCCTCAGGGCCCCCAACTGCCGCCCCTGGTTTCTCTTGGAAGGCAGTAAGAGCGAGCCCTGGGCTGCTCTGCTGCGGAGCAGTGTGAGCTGGAACGTGGATTTGACCCCGAACAGTCAGCCATTGCCACCACTGCCTGCTTTTCCCAGCCAGGTGTGTCCAGAAGCACTAAAGGGCGATGGCCCGGGAGAGGGTGTTCTCAGGCTCTGGGGGAGGTCACGGTGTGGATGGCCATGACCTCATGGGCATCTGTTTTTCAGGAGTCACTGCCTGACCCAGAGCCCACTGTGGCTCCTGAGGTCTTCTTTACTGTGGGATCCAAGACCTTTTCCTGGACGCCTTTTCCACCTGCCCTTGGTGTCTCTGGAAACTCTTACCGGTTGTTCCACGGGACTGGAGGCTCCCTGGAGTCACCTACTCCACCCCTGAGAGCATGTCCTGCACCAGATTCTACTCAGACTCCTGGCACCCAAGAGTGTGTGTCTGTGCATAGTCCACCTGCGTTGCTGAGCTGCCCATTGTGCCAGAAGGCATTTGATCCCACGTGAGTGTGCCACCCCTGACCTCAGGCTCAAGACTTAGCCCTTTGTAAAACCTCCTTCCTGCTTGGGAGGCTGAGAGAGTGCCTGGATGTGACGCCGGCCTTTTTTTAAAACTATTTTGTTTTGAGACAGGGTTTCTCTGTATAGCCCCTCGCCTGTCCTGGAATTTGCTCTGTAGACCAGGCTGGCCTCAAACTCACAGAGATCTGCTGGCCTCTGACTCCTCAGTGTTGGGATTAATTGTGTGGGCCTCCACCACCAGGTTTATTTAGCTAATATTTAAATTAAACATATTTACATATGTGCTATGGCATGCTTGCATGTGGAAGTCAGAGGAAAACTTGAAGTCTGTTTTTGCCTTTTAAACTGTGTGAGTCCTAGGGATTGAATTTAGGTGTTGAGGATTGGCAACAGGTGCTTTTACTTGCTGAGCCATCTTCCAAGCCTTTTCTGACTCTTGGTGATGCTCTTGCTTCGGCCTCCCAAGTGCTGGTGTTTCAGGAATGTACCACCACCACATTTGGTTAGCTTTGGCTACTTAAGAAACTTGTAGAAATTGAGCCCACTGTTGCTAGGCATATGTTTTAGATGGTATGTAGAGGCCCTGTCTCAAAAAAACAAAACAAAATGTGCTTATTATTGTTTGTGTGCAAGCCAGGTCAAGCATTTTTCTTGATCACTTCCCGCCTTATTATTTGAGAGAGTCTCTCACTGAACCTGAAACTCACTGGTTTGGCTAGGCTGGCTGGCCAATGAGCTCCAGGGATCCCCCACCCCACCCCATCTCTCCTGCCACCCCAGGACCTGGGTTGCATATACATACTTGCCTTTTACATGGGTAATTTTTGCACAGCAGGTACTTTATCAATGGAACCATTTCCCCGGCCTCCAAAATCGAGCTTTTTAGCAGAATCGAGCCTTTATGAATTTGGGAGGAGCCCCAATCCCAGCCCTCAGCAACAACTATCTCTACTACCCACATAGCTCAGACAAAGGGGTGTTGAGAGTGGGCTGGCTTGAGTCAGGTTGTGGTTGTCCCCAAGTGGGGTCCTATTTATGTGGTAGTGAGTGGTTTGTAAAGTTGACATCTCCATCTTCTTATCTTATGAAGAGACCCAGGGGCAGAAGCTGGGGTTGGGAACCCTTTTGGGAAATTTGTTCTCGCAGAGCCCATAAGAGCTTGCCAGGGTTCCCACTCCCTTCTTGTTTCAGGAGGGCTTTTTGTCTGTGTTGTCTAAGAAAAGACTCCTGAACATTGAAGCCGGAAGCTCTGCCCATTGGTACCTTTCAAGTGGCCGTAGGAAGGCTTGGCAAAGTGCCTTGATTTTTCCAAAGTAGGTATCAGCAAGGTAGAGCAGCTGGGATGTACTGGGCTAGACTCACCCCTTAGGGTGGCAGCCACATTATCAGGCTGGCTTTGGGGAACGTATGTCCCATGCCCTTGAAGGAACTCCCTTTCATTCCTGTTCCAACGCAGGATGTTCTGGGGCTTAGGTGGCAGGGGTGATGTTACAATGGGCAAGACCTAGGCAAGGAGGCAGACTGGCCTTGGGCAGGTCAATTGGACAGCTAGACCCAGACTGAGTGGTCATACTGTTCTCTGAGGGCAGTCTGTGCAGACATTGCTGCCCACCTGAGCTGGCACAAGTGAGCCTGGGGACACCCCTCAGGGAGGACCATACCAGTTTTTCTTTCCTTCAGCACTGTCTGAGCCATGTGGTGCACTATCTTATTCCTAAATGTGACAGGATTTAGCTACTAGGCTGACATGCATACAGTGTTCTTTGTCTGAGAAGATCTTGCTGCTATATTCAAATACTTCATACAGATGTCTCTCACTACTGGGGACTGGGTCCGGTACTCCTAGTGTACCAGTCTGTAGATGCTCAGGTGTTTTTTTTTTTTTTTTTTTTTTTTTTTTACATAAACACAGTTGTTACTTCATAAACCCTACATCTCTAGGTGGCTTTATGTATTGCTTAGGGAATAATGACAAGGGCGAGTCTGTTTATATTTAGTACAGTCACTGCTTTTTAAAAGTACTTTTTATCTGTGGTTGTTTGAATATGCAGATGCAGGACCCACAGATAGGGAAACCACTGTATTTTCTGATATTCTTGTGTCAGATAGGCAACTGGTGAGACTGTCCACCAGCTGGGGATGCCAAAACCCTAGTCTTTACTGACACAGTGAGACCTGGTGGTTGTGATTCTCTCTCTCTCTCTCTCTCTCCCTCTCTCCCTCCCCCGTCTCTCGTGTGTCCTCCTGCCCCCGCCTCTCTCTCTCTCTCTCTCTCTCTCTCTCCCTCTCTCCCTCCCCCGTCTCTGGTGTGTCCTCCTGCCCCCCCCCCTTTTTTTTTTTGTTTTTTCAAGACAGGGTTTCTCTGTGGCTTTGGAGCCTGTCCTGGAACTAGCTCTTGTAGACCAGGCTGGTCTTGAACTCACAGAGATCCACCTGCCTCTGTCCTCCTGCCCTTTTATTTCAATATGTAACCTAGGCCTTGAACCTCTGAACAGTCTTCTTGCTCAGCCTTCAGAGTAGCTGGGATGACAGGTGTGTGCCATGCTTAACTCATGGTCGTGACTCTAATAGTTTGTTTATATTCAGATTCTGGCAGATCTGTGTTGGTTAGCTCTAGCTGGGGCTCAGCTGTGTCTGGGAGTTAGCAGAAGCCCAGCTGTGAAATGAGTTCTACAGAAACAGCTCTCTTGTTGTGGAGTAGTATCTGGAGGAATCCCTGAGAACCCACTTGGGGGACTCTGCCTGGAAACTCCCAACAGATGGCTGAGGTCCACACAGAACCTTGAGGTGCCTTGCAGAAAGTTGGAGGGAGGGAAGTGTTAATACTGTGGTTAGATTGGCTGAGGGCTCTCAGGGGCTTCAGAGACCATTTACTGGGGACTGCCAAGTTCGAGAGCCATTGAAAGTCACAGGACCTAGGAACCAGGTGAGGGAGGGGCCTTGCTTCCTATCCTCTGTTGTAAATCTTAGGGGAAATCTGCTTCCATTCTGGGTGTGGGTCAGGTAGGATGCGGTGAGCAGGCCAAGGCCTGGGATGCCTGTGAGGGAAGGTAATGGGTATCTGGTTGGCCAGCAGGATATCCAGAGGGTCCTCATGACCGGAGGGGTTTCACCTCAGGACTTCTGTGGGCACATTCACTGGTTCAGCACATACAAGCTGAGCTGGCTGCTGGGAGAGACAGAGGGCATTGCAGTGAGTCACAGCGTTTCTGGGTTTGTTCTTCAGCAGGGGATAGTGGCCCTGCTCTAACAGACTGAGATGGGACTGTCTGACATTGGTCTGGGGAAGGGGACTCACTGTGGGGTCACATGCACAGGGCTCAGGAGCACAAAAGGCAGAGAGTCTGAGGGAGAAGTGGTGCTTGGTGGGTTGCTGTCTGAGGATGGAAGGCTGTGGGGTGCCAGGAAGGAAGCAGGGCCCTTTGAGCAGCGGAGACAAATGTTGGCCAGTCTGGGGGCATGTCTGCTGGTGGTGATATGTAAGGGATGGCCACTCTAATAGGTTGGTGGCCACATGGCCTCCATCAAGTCCTGGAAGCTCTCCTGACCAACCACCTCCTCACCTCCTTCCTCTGATGGTCAGATGAAGTTAGGTGGAAGGCCAGGTAATACACTACCCTTGTTCTCTATTGTGATGCCCTTCCCGGGGCCTCAGGCGCAGGACTCCTGAGGTGCAGGACTCCTGAGGTGCAGGACTCCTGAGGTGCAGGCACTATGTGAGCCTTCCAGAAATGCAGTGCCAGAGGCCAGAAGATTGAATCTTACTTGGTGGGGTTTGGTTCTTCCACCTCAAGAAAACATCCCCTAGCAGGGCATGGTGGCTCACACCTTTAATCCCAGCACTTGGGAGGCAGAGGCAGGTGGATCTCTGTGAGTTCAAGGCCAGCCTGGTCAACATAGTTTTAAGACAGCCAAGGCTGTATAGAAGACCTTCTGTCAAACAAACAACCCCCCAAAAGAAAACATTCCTAGGCTGGAATTACAGTCCCTCTTGGAAGATACAGACTCTTATCTTCATGTGTATTTCTTCTGGGAGGCTCAGTGAGCTGGGCTTTTATGAGAACTGCCCTTTGTGTTGGCTGATGGATGTACCTGATACCTATAAGCCCGAGCTGCTGTAGACAGGTATGGGGCTTGAGGAGGGCCTGCACTGGACCTCTAGGCCAATGTGGAGTCTCTACCTTCCCTCTGATCTCTGCCTGAAATGGGCTTTTTGTTTGTTTTTTGAAACATGGTCTCACTATGTAGTCCTGTCCATCCTGGAACTCACTGTGTAGACCAAGTGGTCTTTGAACTCACAGAGATCCACCTGCTTCTGCTTCTCGAGTGCTGGGATTAAAGAAAGGCATGTGCCATCACATTTAGCTTTTTTGTAAACTTAAGTTACGTATGTGTGTGTGTGTGTGTATGTATGCACATACCACAATGAGTCAAGTCAGAGGAAAACTAACTTTCAGTCACATTTAGCTTTTTTGTAAACTTAAGTTACGTATGTGTGTGTGTGTGTATGCACATACCACAATGAGTCAAGTCAGAGGAAAACTAACTTTCAAGAGTTGGTTCTTTTCTTTTATTATGTGGATTCCAGAGATTGAATTTAGGCCATCAGGTTTGGCAGCAAGTGCTTAAGTCACTTTGCCATCTTGCTGGCAGAAGGTCTTTGGGGCCAGTATGAGTGAGCCAACAGAAGAGATGGGAGCTTCTCAGACATTGGTCAGGGTAGGAGTCTGTAGGACTAAGACTCTGGTGTAAAGAAGGGTTCTCAGGTAACAGGGAAGGCCTAGTTCAACCTACTAAGGTCCTGGTGAACCTTACTTACCATTTCCTCCAACTGACCAGCCATGGAAGAGTCTAGGACTCTTCTCAGTGGTTTAGAAATATGTGGAGTTACCCTTCCTGTGTCCAGCACTCTCCTAGGAGGCCTTATGACTGACTGTTTCTTCTCCCTTGCAGGCTGGCCCAGATGGATGTGGATAGTCACCTTGCTCAGTGCTTGGCTGAAAGCACGGAAGACGTCGTGTGGTGAGCTGCAGGATGCCTCTCCTGTCTCCTCCTTCCAGCGTACATGCTGACAGGGATGTGACTGCTGAGACGTGTCTTCGTGTGGACACCTGAGCACAGGTTCCTTCTGGTTTTGTTCATGGGCATTGGGCATAATGCTGATCACTGTGGTGCAGACAGCAGTAGGTCCTCTATGATGGTTTGTTTCATTGTCAGCTTAACTGGGTATGGAATCACCTAGGAGACAGACCGCAGGGTGTGTCTGTGAAACTGTTTCCAGAGATTAACTGAGAAAGGAAGAACCACCTTGAATGTGGATGGTACCATTCTGTGGTCTAGGGTCTCACTGATTGAAAAGGGAAAAAAGAGAGAAATTAAGCAGCTTCCCGATTGGGGCTGTGATGTACTTCTCACCTGCCACCACAGCTACAGCTGCTTTTGCTACTGTGCCTTCCCTGCCACAATGGACTATACCTTCAACCGTGAGCCAGAATAAATCTTAAGTTGCTTTCATCAAGTATTCTGCCATAGCAAGAAGAACCCCACCCAGGCAGGAGAGCCAGGATCTGTCACAAGGCAGAATTGGGTATCTCTACCCAAGTAAACATTTGTACACAGACAGTACTTTCTCCTGTGCAAGAGTGATATGCTGAATTACATTTCACAGACATTAAAAAATAAAGGTAATCATATGTATTTGTGTGTGGGCGTGTGCATCTGAATGTAGTTGCCCATGGAGGCAGAGGAGGGTGTCAGACACCCTGGAGCTGTAGTAACAGGCAGCCTTGAACTGCTGGAAACCAAACTCGGGTCCTTTGCAAGAGCAGGTTGTCCAAACCACTGAAGCACTCACTTCTCCATTCAGAAACAATGCTGCAGACTAAAAGCTTAATCTCTCAATTACTGTGTTGAGGTCCTCACCCCTCATGACAATGATGTGTAGATGGAACCCTTGGGAGGTGACAGGTCATGGGGGTGAAGCATCCTTAGGGGATTAGTGTTATTTACTGAAGGGGCCTTGGGAGACAGGAACCCTAGTGTCCACATGAACGCTTTTTGTTGGCTCCTTGGTTTCCAGGACTAAGATGGAAGTATGTTGTCTATCTAGGCCTGGGAGTGTATTGGTGGTACAGCATTTGCTCAGCCTGAGCCAACCCCTGGTTCTAGCCAGACAGTGTGGGGCAAGGAATGTGTCCTGGCAACGAGAGATGACTTGCACAGCACGTTGAGTCTCTGCAAACTTACTGCTAAGGGATGGGGCTCGAAGCCATTTCACTTCACACCAAAAGTGGTTCCTGAAGAAGAGAATTTAAGGGAGAGATATGGGGCCTATCTTGTCATAAATGGGGCAAAAGCAAATTCAGGTTGTTTTCTTCTTGTGCTATTTAGTGCAGATTCTAGATAGTGGCTCTGATACCTGCTTAGGAACTGGCATCCTGCCCACTTTGTGTTTTTTAACTCACTGTGTGGCTGAGAACAACTTGATTTTCCTGTCACTACCTTCCAAGTGTCCACTCCTCAGCTCATTCATGCCTGACATTCTTGTCTATGGAAACAAATGTTGGTACATTTGGGGTTTGGGGACAGGCATGGTTTGAAAGTCTGAGATAACCAGAAAAATCTGTATTTTCCTTTAAAAAATAACTTCAATGAGTTGGGTACGGTGGCACACATCTGGACTCTCAGCAGGTGAAGGGTCAGGAGTTCATGCTCAGCCTCTCCGACACAGTAAATTCAAGGTCAACCTGGACTACAAGAGACCCTGTCTCAAAGACAAACAGGGTTTCATGTGAACCGTAGGAAAATGTGAAGGGGCCATGGCACAGTGTAGTAGTTGGTGAAGACTCACCTGATGTGTAAGGCCTGACTGGGTGCAATGCCCAGCAACCCTTTAAAACAGTCAAACTGCCCCAAACTAACTGTGTTGCCAGATGAAAAGGCTGCTGTTAGGGTTCTCTTAGAGGGGAGCCAAGAGATGCGTACAGGCAGATGAGAAAGAACTCCCTTATAAGCATGAATTTTCTGGCCCAGCAGGTCCCAAGGCTCTTGAGCCCCAAATGAACACACAAACGCTAGATTAGTTATAAAGCTATTGACCGATGACTAGGACTTCTTACTGGCTAGCTCTGTCTTAATTATTAACCCATCTCTATTTTCCTAAGTATTTCCACATGGTCTTATCTTACCAGAGGAGGGTCCAGACCTGTCCTCTGGTGTCCTACATGGCGACTGTTTTGGTAGGCTCTTTTCTGGTGGGTCAGCAGATCCAGTAGGAAGAGCAGGGAAACCCTACAGCAGTATTTTTCTGTGTCCCCAATAAACACCCACTCATTTATCTATCATTTATCTTGGGTCCCTATAATTACATCCTCGCCTTCACTCCCTGGTCACAGGGGCTGAAGAGTCTCTCACAGGCTACCTGCAGGTTGGAGATCCTGGGATGCTGATGGCTGACTCAGAGGTCCTGAAGTGTATGCCAGGGAATGGGGGGGGGGACTCTGATATGAGTGGCTAGATGGTATTTACTGGGACCTCTTCTCTCCTGGTTTAGTGAGACTCACGCCAGTCTTTGAAAACATGCTCTCAGATAACCCCAAAATTATATTCTTCAAGGTTTCCAGAAATTCCTAATCTGGTGGGGCTGGCCCTGTTCTAACTGCAACCCCAAAGCTATAACCTGAGAAAGTAAAACTACAGAGACAGCACAGAGCTGGGGAGAGCCGAGGGGATGGAGGTGGTGGTGGAGCCTGACACTATAGTGGAACATCAGGAGGAATGAGGGTGTGTCACGGGGAATCTTCCCCGTGAGGATGGACTCATTTCCCAGGGATGGTGGCAGTGGCATGTATGTGGGACACATGGTCTTTGTTTTGTGTCGTGAGCCTAAATGTATTCTAGGAAGGGACTCTTAGGAAAACGGGGCAGGGGGGGGATCCTTTGCTTTCACCAAACACCTACTTCAAACACAATAACAATAAGGGCATTTTCATCAAAGTCTTTAATAGATGTGCAAGAATACGAACGACCTTGGCCGTGGAGGGCGAGAACATCATCCACAGAAGGAACGCCAGCCAGCGATGGGCTCCACTGACCAATTGTACAAAACCACATGGTTATGGTTACTGCTTTACAATCATGAAAGTCACCAGTGTTCGTGAACCATTTTCAAAAGACACACTGTCTTGCCTGGAGCCGTTTGCAAACGTTAGGGTATTTCCCACCCCCACCCCCCTCAAGTCACAGTTCAGTACATCCTTCACTTTCTTTAATTTATAAAACAAATTAGTGTATATAAAATCTCCCCTTCCGGTGGACACAATGTTATTCACACATTTGTACATGAGCAGCCAAATCAGTTACCAGCAAGTCATTTGGCAATAGGGCAGTATCCAAATAAACACCCCCATTTCTAACAAACCACGGGCCCCTGTGATGTTTGGGCAAAGGAGTTGTTGCTGTCCCTGGGCAGCACACTGGGAGGAAAGGAGCTTGCAGGAGCCGATTTGCTCTTGGACCATTTGTGGGCTCTTCATCTTAGCAGCTTGGCTCATAGGCAGGTGTGACTGCACGGCCCTCAGACTGGGGCTCCAGCTACCTGAACGTCCCCCAGGCTGGGCTGGACACCCCTGGGAGGCCCAAAAATTGGCTCTTAGGCTCTTTGCATTTTTTTTTTTTTTTTTTTTTTTGACCAGTCGCTGGGGACAAGTCTTACTGGTGGACACTGGGAGTGCTGGTTAAAATGTGTCCATGTTCCAGATGCGTTACAGAGCCGCCCAGAAGCCTAGACTTGGGTGGGGTATGATGTCAGAAGCCTGGGCTGCCTGTTCTGTCCCAGCACCATGGACCTGGGTGTGGCTCTGATGTGTTCAGTGCCAGACATGGCAATGGCCCGAGAAACCTGAGTGTATTGGGGCGAGGGCTGTGGGCAGCCACAGGGCACAGCACTGCAACAGCGCCTCTAAAATTTCATTTTCTCTAACTCTGATTTTCGACAGGGTCGCCAGCCCCAAGGCATGAAGCAACTGAGACAGGAGGCTGAACTCCACCCTGCCTCACATGGAGACTCCAGGTCTCATTTCTGGCAGGGTTGGGCTATGTAGCATGTTTATCACACGGGCCAGCCTGGCTTGGGTGGACCTAGGGCGTGCTCAGTCACTGCGGCACAGCTACTCTATTTCCTGTCCACTACCAAGGTACTTAAGTGATGGCTCCTGCCGCACCTGACCTGCTGAGGACTTAGCTAACTTCTTTCCAGAAAGCCCCGGGTTGGCCTCCCAAACTGCCTCTAATCTAAGGAGGAAGAGGAGGAGCATGGCTGAGCACAACAGTTGTGGAAGCGGACATGCTTCCTCAGGAAGAGTACGGGATTATGGGTATTCTGTCGCTTTAAGGCTAGGGTCCATCACACGGGTGTGTCTTTAAATTTTCTAATCTGGAACATTAGTGATAAAAATATTTTCCAAAAATCTAATGTATAACACAAGACATCTTGGAGGCACTGGCTAGTGTTTTCAGAAATATATTTTGTGCGGATTTAGTTTTCAATTATTTTCCCTTTTTTATTTATTTACCTATTTATTTGGTTTACTGGTGCTTTGGTGAACAATGTTTTAGAATCTCTGTAATCCAGTTTCTCCCCCAATCAGAGTCCAAAGGGCTGGTGGGAACAGTGCCACCAACCTGGCCAGGATGTCACTTCAGCCTTGGACTGTCATGGCTAGCTGCATGAAAATACTTGTTAAATATTAACAACAGAACTTACCGGGATTTAGAAAGCGTTCCGAATCTGTAACAATTCTTGTTGCAGTGCATCCCTGCAGGCACTTGGGTGCCCGTCCCCTGCCTACTTTCTGCCTGCTCGGAAAACGCAGCTCCTCCTCAAGTGGGGGCTGCGTTGGGGACGGCAGGCGGGTGCCACTCAGAAAAAAGGCATCAGAGGAAGCTTCGACATCATCGGTACATTTTATTCCTCAGGGCATTTTACACTCTAACTTTCCTGGAGCAGGCCAGTGCATCGAGTTCTGTCTCTGTGGAAAATGTGCACCTTCAAAACGACGTGACTGTCTTGCCCTCTGGTAGGGCTGCCATGGGCACAGGAAGCGATTTCTCCAGCACAAAGCCGGCCTCTGGGGCCTGGACACAAGAGACTGCTCTGTCCAGAAGTGCCCGTTGGATGCCCCTTCTGCGGTCTCAGTGGCCAGCATCCCTCCCTGGCTGCTCGGAGCCTCGTGCCCAGCCTGGCATGCATATGCTGTGGTTAAGGGTAAAGTGACAGGGTCATTCACAGGCGTGTCCACAACAGAGACGATCATGGCCTCACACGGACTCCTCAGCAGAGAGCAGAAGCGGATTGATGTACTCAAAGCCTTCAAATTCAGACTGGTCGATCCTCTTTATGACGTCCCTAGAAGCACAGGAAAGGGGTGAATAGAAGCGGCTGTGTCCCTCCCTCAGGCACCATCCTTCCCGCACTGCAGAAGCAGGGACCCAGGCATGAGGCCATGCACCGGTCTGCCTGTGGAGCTGGGCTACTCAGGACATGTTCCACTGTGACATTTGTGGGGGCAGGCCAGGATGTCTTGAGCCTTGCAGTGCCCTGCTTAGGACTTACTCGTCATCTGGAGTCAGCTGCACGGGCTCGCTGGTGAACTGCGTATCAAAGTTGTCCAGGCCATAGTCATCTGTGATCTGGGGCTGGAAGGGAGGCAGGGCCTGCTTCTTTTCCAGCTGAGAATATTGACAAGGGAGTGTCAGATGGGCGCTGAGCATCCCCTCCGCCTGCTTCAGTTCTTTGTATGAACATAAACCACGAAATACAGTGGGAAGCTCAGCATTTCAGCATGCCTGCGATTTGGATGCCCCCCCCTTTTTTTTTTTTGGTTTTTGGGTTGATGTTTTTTTACCTTAAAGCACAGAATCTAGAAGATATCCAGTGCCACAGCCCAGCAGTTCCCAGTGGTTTTAGGGACATACTTAGCTGTCTAGAATTGGCAGCCCAGCAGTTCCCAGTGGTTTTAGGGACATACTTAGCTGTCTAGAATGCTGTCTAGAATTGACTGTGTTACCAGGCATAAAGGGGGTGACTGTGGGAACGAAGGAAGACTCCTTGATACATGCCATCCTGGTGCCATGTGGTGACACCAGAGTTCCTTCTGACCGCTGGGCATCCCTGCCTGACTAGAGGGTCCACTTCTAAACAGAAAAAGATGGCCACGGCAGCACAGGTGGGTACAGGATGAGATCTTGCCGAAGGGAGGGAGATGGCAGCACCGCGGCAGGCAGCCCCTGGAGTAACTCCAGAGCGCACAGTGGGGTCTGTTCTGAATATGCTAGCCAGCAGCGCAGAGGGACAGTTGGGAGTCGGTTCCCAGAACTGCTGTGGGCAGGGAGATTAGCAGAGAGTACACGGATAGCACCGGCTGTTCTGACTCTTGGCATCCAAGCAAAGAAATGCCCCAAAGGCCAGGACAGTGTTGCCACTTTTGCCTTCTGAAGACTGGTCCTGGGCTGTGAGGGTAGCAGGCCCTGTTCAGTCTAAAGGGTGGGGAGGAGGTGTGCCTGGGGGCTAGTGGCCATTGTGACCCCATTTATGAAGCCTCCACCTGGCCAGGGTTCCCACAACTGCCTGTTTGTCTCTGGAGCCCTGTGCCTGGGCCTTCTAAGAGTGGGCCTTTATCCTGTCCTTTCTCTCCTGGTCACAGGCACATGCAATGACCAAGGACTCATCCTTTCCTCTTGCTTCCACAGGTTGCCTGGGAAACCAGAAAGTTTTGTGACAGCTGGCCCTCCTACTTGCTTTCCTCTCTCGAGTCTTTTGTTTAAACTTTTTTTTTTTAAAAAAATTCCATTTATCTGTGTGCACATGAGTGGCTATGCACGAGCCGAGGCACGCGTGTGGAGGTCAGAGGACAACTTTCGGGAGACATAGACACCCTGGAAATCTAACCCCGGCTGTCAGCGTGGTGGCAAGTACCTTCACCCACTGATTGATCCTGGGCCTATTTAATTTGCTTGACAGGGGGCGGGGGTAGGGGGGAAGGAGCAGAGGCCATCAACTTCCTGTCAGCTCTCGACAATGTCAAGCGAGCTTGCTTTAGCCACAGTCTGACTCACTCCTCAGGGTGGCTTTGCCACGGCACCTGCTAGCAACCTGGAACGAGGTAGGTTTGGCAGCAGGTGGTAGCTGCCCAGATGGCCGCTTTAGCTCTCTACAGTTCATGATGGGTCAGAGATTGGGACCATTTGGAAAGATATCTATCTTACAGATCTGACGTGCTTTCAAACCATGTCTGATGGGGCACCAGACACGGAGGGTCCGTGGACAGACCCTTGGGGTATGGCGCCTTAGCTAAGCTTCCGAAGGAGCCAGGACTTTGCTGTATGGACCCATTTCTTTCAGAACCGATCTGCTGACCAATCACATCTCTGCCTGGGACCGTGTCCAACAACTTTCCCGTGGCCTTTATGCTAATATGCAAACCTTCTGGTGGAGACTTGGCAGGGAAGCATGTGCCGGATGGCCCATGGTGGACTTTGTGTGCTTGGTGGAACATATGTTCCTACCCTCCCATCCCAGAGGAGGGGCAGGAAGACTGACCCCCACAGGCCTCCCCTGTGCTCCCTTTTGACCCTACACTTTCTCTAGAGCAGTGGAGGGGCATGGGAGAGGAGCCAATGGCTAAGGCCCAGGGGAGGACCCTGAGCACCAAGCCCGGCTGTGAGCCTGCAGAGTGGAGGCTTAAAGGCTCCAGTGGCACAAGGTCACTACCAGGTATATAGTGTGTCATGCAGACAGAAGTTCTCAGGTCAGCCGCTGGGGTGGGCAGGAAGGCTGTATCTCTGTCCCCAGAAGAGGGTCTCATTTGTGTCTATAGTCACTCCCATTATCAAGGCCACTCCATTGGACTTGTCTGAAGCAGAAGCCCAGGATTCAGGTGGAAGCTCCCCACCCCGTCTCTAAGGGCAGCCACTTTTAAGCCTACTTGAGCTTGTCGTGATGTCCTCTGCCCCATGGCACCCAGGATGGAGGATGGTCTGAGGGACATTAGAACAGAAGGTGCCATAGGAACAGTGCTAGTTGGAGGGAGGAGGTATGTGTGGTGGGCTGGTTCCTGCCAGTCTAGCTGGCTACTTAAAGGGTCCTCATCCCATAAACAAGCCACCCCAGATCCTAGATCTCCTCAGCTCAGGTGTCCCAGAGTCTTAAGTTACAGGGGCTTGGCTGTCATTTCTGTCTCTTGAAACCCAAGCCCACAAGGAAAATAAAAAGCGGGGGTGGGGGACAGGGACAAGCCTGGCCCCCTTTGTTTCAAACAGACAACACACAATAGTGCCATATAGCCTATGAGCCCTGAAAGAGACCAATGTCGGCTGGCTTTGTGCAAATCTTAGATGAATGGCATAGGTGGCCCCAGGCCCAAGAACGTGGACACACCAGTTACCACCTTGGCTGCACTGATGGTGTTGACAGGGACAGGGGCCGTGCTGGGTCAGCAAGGGGGAGGGCTGGAATTAGTAGCCTCTCCAATGCTGTCACAGTGGCTCATGTCAGGGACCAGTTCCAATTCCTCTAACTGCCACATCTATCTCCTTCCTCACAGCACCAGAACCAGCATCCTGAGTTACGCTGTGATACCCCTGGGCCTGAGCTCCCATCTCGGATGAACAGTCCTGAAGCAATCACTGAAGTTGGTATTGTGCTTATTTGGTCCCAAGAAGTCCCAGGGTACAGCCCCTCAGGAGGTGGGACACCAAGTGACCGTCTCAACAGTGGCTCACCTAGAGCAATGTCCCCAAGAAAACTAGACATGAGTCTCAACAGACAGACTATGCAAGCTGTAAAACAACCTAAAAACCAGAAGGTGGGCCCCAACCAGGTGACCATCAGTGCATGAGTGGACAAACATATGATCTATCCTTGCAATGCAATATCAGGCAGCCATGAAGGCATGTGGCATGCATCTCACCACCACAAGGATGAGTCTTGAAGATGCTTCACCAAGTAAAGGATGCCAGAATGCAAGGCCACCCACTGGATGGGCCTCCTTTCAAGGCAGAGTTGCAAGTCAATTTGCCAGACAGAACACACGTAGGCGTGGCCAGGGAAGGGGACGGGTAAGGTGGGTGTGACGACCCACAGGATGAGTGTCCTGGGCTGAGGAGGAGAGGTTCTGTGATAATGGCTCAGGCCCACAAGATATATGAAAAACGATTGTGCCGTGTGTGGAAGACCTCCCTCAACTCTTCTTGCTGCTCAGAACTACTTGGCTGGCCAGCCTGGAGACAGCTGGGCTGAAATTAGACACTATTTATATCATATCTGCTCACTTATGGTGAGGCAACAGTGATTGGAGATGAGGAGGGCCTGGCTGCTACTGATGCCACGTGGGAGCCCAGGGGTAGGGGCAGAGGAAGAACTCAGATCCTACAGGCTCAGAGGGGTTGGACTCCAGTGAGGCAGGCTCAGAGGAGGAGCAGTGAGTGAGGAGAGTGGTTGGGAGAGAACGTAGAACTCTCCCTGTACTCCACTCATGGATCTATACACAACTCAGGTCAATACACGACTCAGTGTCTTTGGAGTGGGGGTGACAGGTTTCAAAGACTGGGGTAGGTGGTGAGCCTGTGGGTGAAGCTGCCACTATTGGGCTTGGGCCAGGCCAGGTATGGCTACATTGTGAAGAACCGAGTTAGAAAGAAACCTACTGCTTCTCTCTGATGCTACCAGAGCTAGAAAATTATTAAAAACGGACAGAATTGTCTCTTAAGTATCAAGTGCCGGTGAGACGGTTCAGCAGGTAACAGCTCTTACTGTCAACACTGTAACCTGAGTTTGTTCCTCTAGACCTATGTGGTGGAAGGAGAGAACTAACTCTTGAAAGTTGTCCTCTGACTTCCATTAATCCCAGCACTCGGGAGGCAGAGGCAGGCAGATCTCTATGAGTTCGAGGCCAACCTGGTCTACAGAGCTACACAGAAAAACCCTGTCTTGAAAAACAAACAAACAGTGTCAGTGCTCTACACACTAAATCGATATTTACACCTGAACAAGGGAGAGAACAAGTGTTCTGATTGTGAGGCTCCAGAAGGGCCATGGGTTGTGGGGGCATCTTCTGTCCTGATCACTTGCTGTCCCCTGCAGCTTGGCCCCTTCCCGTTCCTCACAGCACCCTAGACACAAACAGTCCTGTGAATAAAACGTGACTGGCTGTGCTAGGCGATGGTGGCGCACACCTTTAATCCCAGCACTTGGGAGGCAGGGGTAGGCGGATCTCTGAGTTTGAAGCCAGGCTGGTCAACAGAGAAAGAGAGTTCCAGGATAGCGAGGGCTACACAGAGAAACCCTGTCTTGAAAAAAAAAAAACACAAAAAAAAACCAAAAAAACAAAAAAAAACAAGTGACCAGTTCTCTGACAAAACCCCGCTCTTCCCTGGAGATGGGATGTGACATCAGTGCTGGCTGGGGACCGTCTGGGAAGGTCAGGGTGGGGTCAGGGAGGAAGGTGCCCAGTGTCCCAGAGGTGGGCAATTTCCTGATTTACTCTATGGGCTAACCTTGATATTTTCCCTCAAAAGAGCGTATTTGGTTTTTGTTTGTTTGGTTTTTTGAGACAGGGTTTCTCTGTGTAACAGCCCTGGCTGTCCTGGAACTCTCTTTTGTAAAAAAAAAAAAAAACACAAAAAAACCCAAAAAAACAAAAAAAAACAAGTGACCAGTTCTCTGACAAAACCCCGCTCTTCCCTGGAGATGGGATGTGACATCAGTGCTGGCTGGGGACCGTCTGGGAAGGTCAGGGTGGGGTCAGGGAGGAAGGTGCCCAGTGTCCCAGAGGTGGGCAATTTCCTGATTTACTCTATGGGCTAACCTTGATATTTTCCCTCAAAAGAGCGTATTTGGTTTTTGTTTGTTTGGTTTTTTGAGACAGGGTTTCTCTGTGTAACAGCCCTGGCTGTCCTGGAACTCTCTTTTGTAGACCAAGCTGGCCTCCAACACACAAGAGATCTGCCTGCCTCTGCCTCTCGAGTGCTAGGGATTAAAGGCATGCGCCACCACCGCCTGCTAAAAGGGAGTATTTTATAGGTGACATTTTAGTAACTTTCCAATCATTTATTTTGAAACAAACTTTTTTTTTTCTCCTAATACTACGAATGGACTCAACTCAGAACCTGGAAGCCTGTGCTTGCTCTCCTGTCAGTAACTAGTGAGAGGACAGATGGGGTCTGGACCCAACCACAACACTCAAGAAAATGCCCTTGGGGCCCAGACACCATTTACCAGGCACCCACTCTTTCCATGAGACCAGCCCACCTCACAGGATGGGTGCGACTGACGCTTGAGGCTTACCAGGTCCCAGTCTATGCTGCGGAAGAAGGCATGGGACTTGATGTCGGAAAACCCAGTCTGCGGCCGGCAGCCAAGCCTCTCTTTGGGATCCTGGGGGACAGAATTCAAATACGAGTGACTCAGGATTCCCAAGGAAACCCTTGGTTCGGCCTCTATCCAACAGGATGACCCAGCTTCCCCTACGAGAGCTCGCTGTCTCCAGCTGCTCTCCTGTCCAGCTGGTTGTGACCTTCCCTCTGTTGGGATTCCTTCCCCAAAGGGTTACTTTCTCATTGCTTGTTTTGCTAAGTATCAATAACGATTAGACTCATCGGGCGGTGGTGGCACGCATTGTTTTAGGAGGCAGAGGCAGACGGATCTCTGCCAGTTCCAGGCCAGCCTGGTCTAAAGAGCCAGATCTACAAGTTCTAGCCAAGGAGACGGATCTCTGCCAGTTCCAGGCCAGCCTGGTCTAAAGAGCCAGATCTAGGTCAAGTTCTACAAGTTCTAGCCAAGGCCACACAGAGAAACCTTATCTCAAAAAGCCAAAAAAAGCAAACTTTGGACCCTCATTCTTTTGGTTAGGAGCACTGACTGCTCTTCCAGAGGACTTGGATTCAATTCCCAGCACCCACATGGCAGTTCGAAACTGTCTGTAACTCCTGTTCCAGGGGAGCTGGACACCCATGGCAAAATACCAATGTGCATAAATAATAATAAATAAAGCCTCTAAAGAAATTAAACTCACAGAACACAGAGCCCAGGTGCCGAAGCGTACGACCGAACCTGTACGGGACAGCCAGCAGCTGAGGATAAACCACTTCGGGGGAGGGACTCTGCCCACCCACTCCATTTCAGAGGGACACAACAGAGATACTCTGTCACCACAGCCAGGGCATACCTTATTTAAAAATCCTTTCAACACGTGTGAGGCCTTGACAGACAGGAAGCGGGGGATCCGGATTGGCTTTTCCAGGATAACTGTGTGGACAGGAGCCAGGTGAGACGACCCCTTGGCAACATTCATTCACTCTTCCCGGCTGCCCACAGGGCCCCTGGACTCTGTTCTTTCTTGGGGAGTGGGGTGGGGGACAGAGTCTTGCTAATGTATCCTGTTCACCTTGAACTCCTGACCTTGAACCTCAGACCTTCTTGTCATCCTCCTGACAAGATTAGCTGGCATTACAAGGCCATGTGACCCACACCTAGCCTGAATACCATTTCTAAGACAGAGCTCAGACTTGTAGCTCTGGAACCCCTTCCTGTTCCAGAAGCCTTCTGGGTCCTTCTCGGAACTTCCTGGTGGCATACTGGTGGTGGCACATATTGCGAAACTACGTGTGAACCAGCAGCTCCTTACACATTCCCTACCTTTTGGTTACAGGCATGGGGAGACCTCCACACATGGGTCACCAGAGGGCGCTGAGGGACAGCCCTGAGTGAGCCATTAACTCTACTAACCAGGAGTAAGGAGGGGAACCTGCCCCAGACTACGGGAAATGTACCAGGCACCGCAGAAGGGGGCTCTGGCTAAATCAGGGCATTCTCTTTCTAGGTGACTTATGGTGGACTATGGTCACCCTCACTTCACGTTCTCTGCCGCCAGAGAATGTGGTTTGCGTGTGATAGTGTTGGTTCTGAGGCACCAGGCCGGGACAATGCCTTCCATCTCACCTATAAGTAGGGAAGAAGAAAAAACAAAACAAAACAAAACATGCAGAGGCAAGGAGGGAGTGGAGCCACCAACCTTGGAAAAGGTAGTCTTCAGTGTTCATGTCAGGGTTGTCTGTGATGATATCAAAGGGGGAACGCCCAGCCATCATCTCAAACATGAGGACGCCCAGCGCCCACCAGTCCACGCTGAACCCTGGGGAAAAGCAGGTGGTCATCTGTCACTAGGCAGGTGGCGGCTGGGAAGCTGACACACTTAGTCTGTGAATGTGAATGTGTCAAAGGGAGTTGGCATCTGTCTCCCCTGGTGGCCGGACTGCCCCTCACTTACTGTGCTGGGCGCCTGTTTCTTTAGAAGCTGCAGAACTGGTGTGTGGCTGTGACCCTTCCACCTGCACTGTGGGTTACCCAGGCTGTTATGAGGCCCTTCAGCTCTGCTGGGGTTGCTACGCAGACAGGCGGGATGGATCCAAGAGTGGACCCTGCTTTGTTCTTATCATCATCTTCCTATTCTATTATTTATCATCATTATTATTAGGGACAGGGTCCCACTGGCCTTCAATCCGTGACCCTCCTGCCTCAGCCTCTAGAGTGCATGCCACCATAACTGGCCTTTTTCTTGTTTTCGTTTAAAGTACAAAGCCCCCTTCACACTGAGGAACTTAGCTCAGTGGTAGAGCACTTCTCTCACTCGTGCAAAGCTCTCTCTCTCTCTCTCTCTTTTTTTTTTTGAGACAGGGTTCTCTGTGGCTTTGGAGACTGTCTTGGAACTAGCTCTTGTAGACTGGGCTGTTCTCGAACTCACAGAGATCCGCCTGCCTCTGCCTCCCGAGTGCTGGGATTAAAGGCGTGTGCCACCAACGCCCGGCCTCGTGCAAAGCTCTTTAACCCCCCAGTGCTGCCCAAACAGAACCAGCCAGAACCCACTCCTCTGAGATAAGAAATTACTTTCACCGGGCATTGATGGCGCACGCCTTTAATCCCAGCACCTGGGAGACAGATCTCTGTGAGTTCGAGACCACCCTGGTCTACAGAGTGAGTTCTAGCACAGCCTCCAAAGCCACAGAGAAACCCTGTCTGGAAAAAAACAAAACAAAACAACAAAAATACTTTCCTATAGTTTTTTCTGCCTTCTCTAATCTTCCTTCCTTCCTTCCTTTTCCCTCCCTCCCTCCTTTCTTTTTTCAATGTCCAAATGCCAAGTTTTTTCATGCAGCAGGAGGGAACACAAGCCTTCAGCTCTGTCCTAGAAAGCCTGACCATCCCTATGGCCTCTGAACAGTTCATCTGCTCCATCACACATAGAATCCTGGCTGGTTCTAAACTGGTTTCTAGCTCCAACCTGCCATCTTCCCCTCTCTGGTTACTGAACAACTTCAACTGAAGTAGCTTCCAGGGGCCCAGTTATTCTCATGGGTCAGTGGCCCACTCAGGCTGCCTGCCGCACATGTGAAGGTGTATGTCACTGAAGCCACCATCATGAGTCAGGGACAGACGGCACATGTCTGTTATCCCACCTGCATGACAGAAAACACTAGGACACAAAAGTGGGTGTGTGCATAAGCACACACCCACAACATAAGCAATGAAACTGTGTGCAGAATAAACAAATGCACACACAGAGACACACACTCACTGCATGCTATATATACCCTCCTCCATCACATGGACATGTGTGTGCCACCCCACCCCCACACATGGATGCATATGACCGTTTCCACCCAGAGAAAGAGGAGGAGCAGACATTTAACACTGTGTCTACATGTTTCCCAT